CAAAGTGTTCAGCCCAACGAGCCATACGACGCTCCTTATTGTGTGTCATTACACATGCTATACGTGGGAACTAATTGTTGACAAAGGTGTGGTTCGGTTGTTCCTTATTGTGTATCAGCGCATCCGCGCTGTCCCTGTTTGTCTCACTGACGCCTGGTTTTCTAGGACCAGTGGTGCGGATTAGCTGGAAGAACTTCCGGTAATTGCCTACTGCTCCTGCCTCCTCCATTTCTTGAGCCCGACTGGTCCACCAGGCTTCCTTGTCAGCACGTAGGCTCCGCTTTAGTTCACGCCTAATAGCCCGTCTGGTCACATTGTGTTCAGAACCAGTCGGGAGGTGTCTTCTGGATTCCAACAGGTTCAACGACCTCTCGGATATCCAGTGACTGGTGCGGTGACGACTGATAGTGCCACGAACAGATGCTCCTGCGTCGTGCATAGCGGCCGAGATTCTATTCCAATGAAGTTCAGTGTCATTGGGACAAGACAGCGAGAGTTCGTTATGCAGTGTTTCTTGATAGGCTTGCCTGACAGAGGGCTGGGACAATTTCTCCGTTGCCAATCGGGGGAAACGCTTTGTGCGCCTTCCTGTAAAGTTCATGGAGAAACGACAGCGCACCAAGGCATGGTCAGAGTCGACACAGGTACTCCAGTACGAGCGGCAATCCAGAATGGAACCGCGCCACCTGTAACTTATGGCTATGTGGTCAATTTGGGTCCATCGCTGACCAGCTACAGGTGAACGCCAAGTGGCACTTCGGCGCCCACTGTGTCTAAAAGCAGTGCTACTAAGAAACGACTGGTGCTCCGCACACAGTTGCAGCAGACAGTCGCCGTTGTCAGTCGGTTCGGCGTTAAGTCCATACTTACCACCCAGCTGAGCTTCTGAAGAACTCAGACGCCCTACTTGTGCGTTCATATCCCCCGCAAGTACTATAATATCTGAACTCGTAGCACTGTGTAGTAGCCCGTTCAGTTCGTGATAGAAAGTGTCCTTGACTGCATTAGAACTGCAGTCGGTGGGAGCATAAGCAGAAATCACAAACAAACAGCGTTTTTTTTACTTCGCGAATTCACCTTAGCTGATGTCGTCAAACGGGCTGCACATAAACGGCTGTTCACCGGAATCCAATCAACCAACGATGGCTCAGCCTTGGAGCTTAGAATGATACCTACACCAGCTTGACCGGTGAGTGCCGCATCGGCGTCTCCGGATGCGTGCAACCAATAACGAGAGGCTAAGCCGGGTGCAGTCAATTCAATAACCCCGTTAGGGTCATTAATCCTAGTTTCGGACACACAACACACATCAACACCCAGTGTGTCCAAGGTGCGCGCGAGTGCAGCCTGCTGACCTGTTTGTCTTAGAGTGCGGACGTTGAATGTCGCCATGGAAACGGGACGGCGTGGCCTTATAAGGGACTTTTGCCGATAGGCGTCCGATAGGTGCTGTGGGATGGTGGCTGCAGATGGTTCTACTCCAGTAGCACTTCGGTTGCTGTCAATTAAGCTGGGAATTATAGAAGGAAGGTTAGTAATGGGGGCCGGGATGGGAGTAAGAGAAAAAGGTGGAAAAGAAAGAAGGGAGGCGCCAGCAGTAGCATGCTTTCGCTTATCCGCCCTGCTGTATGCAGCAGATAAGGCGACCCTTGATAATCTGCGCGACGGCCGATGCAGGATGAAGTTTATGTTTGAAGAAAATGTCATGGTTGTATGTGGGCTGGGATACTGCCAGGGCGCCCAGACCTAGACAGGAGGACGATTAGGATCCTCATCGAAAGCCTTTGGCTCAAAAGCCTGTCCGCAAGGCAGCGGGGTGGCAGTGATTCAGTTCTACGGAAATGGACGCCATCCCATTTCAAACCCCCAACCTGGAGGACCATGAGACTGAGTTTGTCTGACCTATAACCATTGACCAACCTGGTAGGAGTAGCTCTCAAGATGCTCGGAGGCATCACCCAGTATAGCTCAATGGGTCAATGAGGTACGCAAACCGTCGCACCACGTTAAGGTCCAGTCTCGTTGCGACGGACCTCCCTACTCGATCGTACCTGGAAGGGTGTCCCGGCTAACTGGAGCGAGTGGCAATGTACAATAGGGGCAGTAGCACAGACTGTTCTAGCCACAGGGGTATTAGTCTAACGCCAGAGGTGAAAATGGTATCAGCAGAACGCCGGTACGCAGTACCGTCGCTTCGCTGCCGCGCAAACAATGGTCGCACATGAGCCAGGATACTGCAAGGGTCGCCCTATCCCTACACGGGCTCCAACCCGCATCACCAGATTGCAAGACGAGCTTGCTACCTTTCGGCTACGCCAGTTGTGACAAAATTACTGGCATCGATTATCGTTCCTCACCTCACTGTGGAACAGGTATCTCGGAGTAGGGAAGCACAGGCAGGTTTCCTGCCAGGACATGGCCGTATAGACCATATATTCACTCTGCGGCAGGTGCTAGAGCAGCGCCACGCATACCCCAGACCGACAATAGCGGCGTTCCTTGGTTTCAAGAGTGCGTTCGAATCAGTCGATCGATGCATTCTGTTTGAAATACTTGCTTGGGAAGATGTTCCCACGAAATGTGTGAACATCTTACGGACTCTATACTCGAACATCAGGAGCCGCATCAGGGTCAACGAAGACCTGTCGGATATCTTTCTGACCACAATGGCATTTGTCAGAGTTGTCCGATTTCCCCGTTTTCGTTCCATTTCGTCGTGGACTTTATCATGGAGTGTTCTCATGCGAAATCTCACTATGTAGGGCTTGTGGTCCTGTCTGGGGAACGGTTAATTGTTCTTGATCATGCGGACAATATCGTCTTGCTTTTCAATCATGTTGCGACGGCACAATCAACCCTGAATAGCCTGTCCAGAGTGGTCCCATTATTTGGTATGCACTTCGCACCTTCAGTGTGCAACGTGTTGCTGCAGGACCACCAGCCACTTGATGACCTATTGACGCTTGCTAACGAGGAATCTGAGGTGGTTGATCGGTTCACTCACCTTGGCATTTGCACCATCAATGATGAGTCCCCATCTTTCAAGACATACCGATCCGACGGATACTAAGCTTGAGTTTGCGTTCTTCATGTTCCTTCTCCACCGCCGCCGCACTTTTCCAGTCGCTTCCGGGGAGCGCAATTAACACCCGACGGGGAAAGCGATAGGCTGGTGTGCGCAATACGTTGCCGAGCCAGCGCATGCTGTGTCGGAGACTAACCGTTTGTAGGCATAGACTGTTTGCTCCAAACACTTGTTATCGGAATTCTGCATTACTCACGTGATGCTGCCACCGCGCGAGCAATCTTACGCATACAACCATTGTCGAAAACTGACAATCGTTTTATGTCTTCCGAGTGAGTCGGCCAGGTCTCGCAGCCGTACGAGAGGGCCGCACAGACAGAGGTAATGTATACCCTGCCTTTGAGTGAGACTGACGTCCCTACAGCGCCATAAGTGTCTCAGTCTGATGTATGCAAGGCAGGCCTTTGCGATCCGTTGTGAGTCCTCATCTTCAATAGAACTGCCCGATGTGATGCAACTGCCTAGATAAGTGAAGCAGTGGACTTGTTCCAGAACGTCACCAACAACGGTGAGGGCGTGCACAGGCGTCTGCCAATCCTGCAGTAGTATTTTACCTTTGGCGAGAAACAGACTATACTTAGATGCTTCCATCGCTAAGCGGTTCAGAGCGCTATGGACGGCTTGTGGGTCGTCCCCGAGCAATCCATATCATCGGCGTAGTGCAAGTCCGTCGCCTGAGCGAAGCTCAATACCGCAGTTTTGTTGGCCTTCCAATGCTCGTTGAACGACATCTTCAACGGCAAAATTTCAGAGGAAAGGTGAGATAGGGCAGCTTTGGTGCACCCCTGCTGGTGGCAGCAAGCGAAGTCGAAAGTGTGCGGTAAGCCCTTACTTTGCCAGGCGTGTGACTGTAGAAATCCTTCAAGATGGTTACAAACTTGTTGGGCACCTTTCCTCAATAGATAGTTTTACAACGCAGATCTATCTACTGAGACAAAAGCCGCTCGGGTGTCCTAGAACACAACGATTGTTGACTGTCGGTGGACGTGACGGAGCTCAAGAAGTTGGCGGAGTGTGAAGATGTGGTCAGTACAACCTGGACCTCGACGGAAACTTGCTTTGTTCTTCACGTTAAAGCCCTTGTCTAGTCTCTGAGAGCCTGCGGAGTGGAACAGATACGAAAAATTTGTACGCAACAGGGACCAACGGAATTCTGCGGTAATTGACGCACTCCAAGACGACCCCAAGTCATGGGGTCGAAACCCGGCAGGGGTCCGGGGAAGGCGCATCACTGACGAAACCCAGAAGGTCGAAACAGGACTGTCTGGTGCTTTTCCAGACTTGTCGAAGCCTGTTGACTGAGGGGACTGCGATAAAACACCTCTGAAAAGATAGAATTTATTCAAAATGATTTAACAGTGAGTAGAACACACTGCGTTTTGAAGTATGATCTTAACGCATGATTCAACTATGTTTGTTCACTGAGTATTCGAAACAGGAGGTACGTGAAATTAAATTTTATACAGTACCGTTCACAACGGGAAAGTAAGATAGGATATGTTTTAGTATAGGACCGCCGTATGTAGACCATCTCGCTATGATGATCACTTTGGTCCAGGTCCTTTGAGCGGCCAACTTATGGGGTTTTACTGTAGTAATCAAAACATAACGCGCGTGCCGATAGATCTAGAAGTGATTCTCAATTGTTAAAGACTTAGTGAGATCTGTTCCCTTTGTACCAGAAGGGTCACACTGTTCCGTCTGGATTGCCACCGACAGTTCAAATGTCGGGTAGACGGGAACAAAGTGGCCCACACAACTTGAACCCAAATGCCAAGCTGGTGAAGAAGTCCGATGCGGAAAAAGTGGGATAAGCCGGCTGAATTAACCGGAAGTGAAGTCCTCTATAGGAACAGATGAGCGAACACCAAGTGCAAGGGAACGTGTGGTTGTGCTGATTCACCAACGTTTCCGCATGACAACGGCCAAAACATGCGGGAATGATCGGAGTCATATGTCAGTATTGAGCGATCTTGCTGTAGTAAGTAATCTCAGCAGTCTAGCAACTAGACACAGAGCCAACAGAAAACCATGGAGATCAGAGGATAATGGACAGTCATCGCGTCATAATCATCGTGGCGCAGTAGTTGAAGGTGAGCAACACACTTCAGCTAGCATGCCGCAGGAAGAAAGGGACATTTTGACAAAAGTAGAACAAAACATTTTTCGTTTGTTTTTCACATGCCGATTTTGCTCTTTTGTCATTTTCAATGTTTGAAGTATTAAAGATGTGAATCAATACAACACTGTACACAATACTTCCACTGATTCCGGTTGCGAGCCATGTCTTCAAGAGTGTTAAGCCATTGGCAATCCTCATCTTTGGGTCCCCATTCTGGAAGATGTACGGATCCAACAGCGGCTAGACACGACGTCAGCGATTTCATATGCTGCCGCCATGTAGCAGGCTGACCACCACGCGGTCGCCTCCAGCCAGGTCCTTGACAAGCGAATAGAGCGCGACGCGGTAGACGCTCAGGTACCATGCGCAGGAGGTGACCGAGCCATCTCAACTGGCGCAACAAAACCAGTTTGTTGAAAGGAATACTCACATTCCCCAAGATGCGACGTCGAACGTCATTACCATTAACTCGATGTTGCCACCAAACACGAGCAATCCTCCTTTAGCAACCGTTATCGGAGGCAGGAAGACGACGCATGTATTCCACCCGAATCGGCCAGGACTCGCACCCGTGCAACAATACTGAGCGAACTGATGCGCTGTAAACGCGACCCTTTAGTGAGAATGAGACATCACGACGACGCCACAAGTGCCTCTGACAAATGCTGATCGAGCTTTAGCGATACGAAGCGAAACTTCTTTGTTGATAGTGTCGTCAGCAGAAACACAGCTCTCAAAGTAGACAAAACTATCTACCTGTTCAAGTTATGCACCCTCTAGAGTGAGCACGGGAGCAGGTGAAAGCGGCAAATTAGAGGACATAAGAACAAAGGTATTAAGTGCTAAGACGTCGAAAATACCAGAGAATTGGAGCAGAGCGATCGAAAGATGTGTTTAAAATGAGCAAATGAACGGAAGAATCTCATTCATCATCATCATCATCATCATCATCATCATCATCAACAACAACAACAACAGTACATCAGCCATTCGAACCGATGCTTCGCTGCCATACAACCATGAGGACCTAGGAAATAAAGAATAGGAAGAGGGAGAGAAGGGGGACTTACCCGAAAACCTTAATGCCCTAAGCAAACATTCAGGGTCAAGGCGCCTACACCTTGTGTAGACAACATACCGTCACAAACAGCTGGCTATCGTGCAAAGATAAGGCGGCATCGGCGAGACAGCTTCATTGCGGCTTTCACTGCCACGCGTCATAATCAGCCATTACCCCGCAGATAACTCAGCACCAAACACACTTTAAACAGACAATCCGATTAGGAGACGACAGCAGACGCGCCACTGGTGTCGGTTGCGAGCCATGTCCTGCAAAGTCTCGAGCCAAGCACAAGGTGAGTCACGTGGACTCCAACCCGGAAGGCGAGACGGACCAACGGCACCCAGTTTGGTCGTCAGTGACTTCATTTCCCGCTGCCAAGTCAACTTCTGTCCACCTCGAGCCTTGCGCCATCCGACACCTGGCAGACTAAACAAGGCCCTCCTAGGTAAGCGGTGACCAGGCATGCGTAGCACGTGCCCGAGCCAACGCAACTTATTCAGTGCTATCTGTTGTTCTAGGGAGCTAGCATGATCATCACCCCCTACTACTCGCCTGCGCACATCATCGTTGCGGACACGCTGGTGCCATCCGACACCAGCAATGCTTCGCAAACAACGATGATCAAAGACTTGAAGTCGCCTCAGATCTTCAGACCGAAGGGGCCAAGTTTCACTACCATAGAGCAGAACGGCCCTCACTGTGGTCTTGTATACACGGCCTTTCAGACGGAGGGAGACTCCCTTCTGTCGCCAAAGATGACGCAGGTTCAAGAGGGCAGCTCTGGCCTTTGCAATGCGTGAGCTCACGTCAGTTTCTATGTGCCCATCATTGCTGATGCAGCTGCCAAGATAAGTGAATTGATCAAGCACCTCGAGTTCCTCGTTAGGAAGCGTCAAGGGGTCATCGAGTGGCTGGTGGTCCTGCAGCAACACTTTGCACTTTGAAGGTGCGAAGTGCATACCAAATAATGGGACCACTCTGGATAGGCTATTCAGGGTTGACTGTGCTGCCTCAACATTGTCGAAAAGCAAGACGATATCGTCCGCATAATCTAGATCAACTAACCTTTCACCAGGCAGCACTTCAACACCTACATCGTGAGATTCCGCAAGGGAACACTCCATGATAGAATCCACGACGAAATTGAACAAAAATGGTGAAATCGGACAACCCTGACGAACGCCACTTGTAGTCGAAAAGCTATCCGATAGGGCACCATAGACCCTGACGCGGCCTCTAGTGTTCGAGTATAGAGCACGAAGGATGTTCACATATTTCGTGGGAACACCTTTCCGCGCAAGTATTTCGAACAGAATCGATCGATCCACTGAATGGAACGCACTCTTGAAATCGAGGAACACAGCTATTGTCGGTCTGCGGTATGCGTGGCGCTGCTCTAGCACTTGCCGCAAAGTAAATATATGGTCTATACAGCCACGTCCTGGGCGAAAACCGGCCTGCTCTTTTCTAATCCGAGATTCCCGTTCTGCAGTGAGGCGACGAACGGTAATCGAGGCCAGTAATTTTGTCACAACTGGCGTTAGGCTAATACCCCTGTGGTTCGCACAGTCTGTGCGACTGCCCTTTTTGTATATTGCCACTATAATTGATTCGCTCCAAGTAGCTGGCACACTCTCTTCGTTCCAGATACGTTCGAATAGGGAGGTCAGTGCTTTGCAGAGGACCTCACCTCCATCCTTAAATAGTGCAGGTGATAGGGAATCCGGGCCAGCGGCACGAAAACGATTAAGGGCTGTGATCGCGTTTCGGACCTCGGCCTCCGACGGAGGCTCTAAACTAACCGTCCATGGCTCGTCCTGCATCATCTGAGTAGGAAGAGGTCCTGGAGCAGGGGGCCAGCTGAACTGATGTTCAAAGTGCTCAACCCAACGAGCCATACGGCGCTCCTTATTGTGTATCAGCGCATTCGCGCTGTCCCTGATTGTCTCACTGACGCCTGTTTTCCTGGGACCAGTGGTGCGTATTAGCTGGAAGAAAATGTCATGGTTGTATGTGGGCTGGGATACTGCCAGGGCGCCCAGACCTAGACAGGAGGACGATTAGGGTCCTCATCGAAAGCCTTTGGCTCAAAAGCCTGTCCGCAAGGCAGCGGGGTGGCAGTGATCCAGTTCTACGGAAATGGACGCCATTCCATTTCAAACCCCCAACCTGGAGGACCATGAGACTGAGTTTGTCTGACCTATAACCATTGACCAACCTGGTAGGAGTAGCTCTCAAGATGCTCGGAGGCATCACCCAGTATAGCTCAATGGGTCAATGAGGTACGCAAACCGTCGCACCACGTTAAGGTCCAGTCTCGTTTCGACGGAGGTCCAGTCTCGTTGCGACGGTCAACGCGAATAATGCCCAGGGCAAACGAAAGACGCGGTGCTCAATAGATGAAGGATACGACGGAACATTGAGTTTGTAAGTTGCGTAAAACATCATCAGTTTGATAGGTCGTTAGCAATCAAAAATACGAAACAAAATGAGATGTCACACATCATTACCTGACTCCCAGTGTCAACACTGCGGAGAGTTTGTCCAGTCAGCGTGTTCCAAAAGCGGATGCATCGATCCGCGGTGCCACCGCCACTAGCCAGTAAACCGTGTTGGTGCGGTGACCAAGCAATGGCTTTCACGGCTGCAACGTGTTCCTCGTACTTCAGCACAGGTCCTTTAGATGGCGAAGCGTGCTGACTCCAGACAAGTAATCGATTATCATTTCCCCCAGAGGCGAGATATTGACTGTCTGGAGACCACTTCAAGCCACACACCTGGGAATGGAGTAACAAGAGGCCTGTATCAATCATAATTACAAGAAACTGCGTCCATTTTTGGACATAGCAACATGGCAATCGCTTACATGCCTATACGTGGTAGGTATGAAGCCAATGGATAAAGAGACCATAAGTGAACAAGAGGATTAGAGAGCCATGACCAACAGATGAGCGTGCGATTTTAATGTCAGATATGCCGCATGCGAAACAAGAGTGTAGGTGTAAAGGAAAGCAGTGAGCAGCGTGGGCATCGGTCTAGTGTGTTGATTATTTCGTGGGAATAACTTGAAGCACCGGTAGCAGGAACATATGCTAGAAGTCGATATGCGCGAGCCTAGACGCCATCGTTTTGCTTCCCCAATCGGATGACCCTACATGTAAAGAATTCCTCAACCCTGCACTTGTCGTCCAGTCAAACAATAAGCCGAGGAGTATACAGTACAACAAACTGGGTTAAAATGAGCTTTGGAAGAAATGCGCCAACTGGAAACTGACTGATCACAAACGGTTAGGGTATTACGAGTAAAAACTACCAATTGCACAAGCACATTGATATTTTTCTTGCGTGATGATGGATTCAGAGGTGAGGTAACTAAGATGAAGCACTCTCATTATTCACGGAGGGGAAGAGTTAAACGAAGACAAGATGAAAGCAAACGAAGATAATAACGAAGACGGTAACACATTTGGATAGCATGTGTGAACCAGGATAAAACGTTGGTTGAACTAAATACGACCTAATCGCTCACGTACAGATGAAGGGAAGTATTTAATTTTGCTTGTAATTCATTAGTCCACAAATGAAACTATTGCATCTTAACGTTTAAGAGGATTGAGGGTAATGAAGCGGAACAGGGAACACCTCACAAGTTAACTTTAGGCTTGTCGGGACGCCCATGATGCATGAACTATGCTGACGACTACATCGTCAGTGTGTTTGCGACCATTGAAACTATGGATGACGAAAGAACCTTTTCAGGGTATAAGAAGAAATAACGAACGAATGGTTCCTTGCGACCGCCACAACCAGAGTTATAGAGGACTTCACAAGCTAGGTTTGTTAAGTTCGATTGGTAAAATGTTCACCCATTCCTGCATGTTCATGGTTGGGCGCTATTCTCGGCAACAGTTCGCGCAGCATAGATATATCAAGACTTCCGAACACATCCAAATACTCGTGAAATGGAAACTGAAAGTCCCTACGTATTTATTCCATGCAGATGCAGTGAAATGAGTCCAGCATGGTG